TTGTTATAAAGTGATTGAGTTCAGGTGGGTCTTTAAATTAAAAAAGAAAACCCAGTGTATTATTAACGTCATCAGAAGAGAAACTCATCCCGACTAAGACCACGTAGAAGAATTGCGGAGTAGGACCGGTTGATGTTCACAAAGTTCCTGATGGAATCAATGGGAACTTTTGTTCCACTAAATGAAGAAACTGCTCCTTTAGTCACTTCTCCAGATACAAACTTGAAGAAAAGTTCAGCTTTAGTGAGTCGTTCAAGACTTTAGTCATTATTAAGGGCTCATATATGTGTGAGCAGTGCTAACTGGCCATGTTCACTAGTAATTTCGTCTAGAGAGTTCAGTATTTTGGTGTGTATGAGATGTGTTAGACGCCTTGCTTTTTGATATTTTGAATTTCGACCTATTTAGAATCCTTAGTTGTTTCTAAGATGAAGCTAATTACTTAGTATAAATGACAAGAGGTCTCTAGACAAACCTGTCAGGAATGTGTTAGTGTGTCAGCAGGAAATCTGTTCTATCCACCCATGAACAGTACCTAATATGTTGTTTTACGGGTATAGTCCCTTGATGATTGTTCCGAACTCTCGTTTTACAACTTCTACTAGTTTTTCCTAAAAAATTACACGACAACTAGCATAGAGAAGACGAAGCAAGTTTTCTTAATTCTTTCACTCAGCTCCTCATGTGAGGTTTCAAGTCTGAATGACTCCCTTTTAATTTCTTCCTCCGCTCAATAGACGTCATTTCAGTCTAGTAGGCCCAGTAGGTTCTGGGCTCGAGCCCCGCGTGATGCGGGATCGTGGATGCGCACTGCTGAGGAGTCCCATACTAGGACGAAACGGCCGTCCAGTGCTTCCAGGTTTTCAATGGTGGTCTAGCTTCAACTGACTCATGATTTAAATCTGTGAAAATTTCAAAAATCTCCACAAACTCCTTCTGATTATTTATCTATTTATTTACTGGCTTTATTCAATATTATATTTTGGTACAATATAGGATTCTCAGCACAGGGTATCTCAACAAGTTTCTTACGCACAAAAAACAGTAACAAAGACAGGAAAGGAATAAAAATACTTAAAAAAAACGCGAAACTGTACAACTTTACGAATTAGAGACATGTTAAGAATGCAGGTTATTGATTAGGTTAACTCTAATAACCTGTTCGTCACAGAGTATATTTGCTAGGTAAGGTATTATAGAACTTTTATACTTTTGCTTGCGTGCATGGATTTTAACGTAATTACGTCTCGTTCTACCAGAAGATATACAAAGAGAAAGATAAGAGTGAACGGGATGGTTAGTATCTGATAAAATAATACCTGCTAGGAGTTTGCATGGTTTTAAATGTCTATCCACAACCATATTAATTATGATCTCGAAAGATTCATCACACACCTTGATAACTGCCTCCAGCACTCTCCTCCATACAACAAAGTCTTTTCTCAAAAGCCCGGGAAAGAATAATGAACAACAGTAAAGAATAATAGGTAATATACAAGAATTGACAAATTGTAAGAGTAAATGACGAGTAATCACAAGAGCATGCAATCTCTTTATTTGGTTGGTTAGACGGAAAACCTTCTTTGATAACAATAAAACGTTGGAAGACCAAGAGAGATCAGAGGAAAAGGTGACATCAAAACAATTGACCTTCGACACTGTGTTTATCAAACAGTCCCCAATAGCACAATCATTATGGGATCTCAAAATGACGTTTAGATGCCATTCATGTCTCCTGATAAAATTAACAGCTTGACATTTAGACGGATCAAGTGTGAGATCATTACCAACAGAATTAACAATCAATACGAGGCAAAAAGTCATTCATTCTCATGGGATTTAAGGAGGAAGAGATAGGCGTACATACAGTGAGATTATCCGCATATTTCACAAAAGTGTTCTCTGTGAAGGATGGCAGATCATGCAGAAAAAAAAGAGAAAAGAAGAGGTGTAAGAACAACTTGTTGTGGTACACCTTCATGAGACAGTAGAGACTCAGAACACTTTCCTCCAAATACAGTGTACTGTTCCCTTCCAGAGAGGTAGGAACATAGCCAGTTGGTTATCCAGCTGTCAGTGTTGACGCTGATTAACTTGTTAATCAAACGTTGTCTTAGTATAGAATGTAAAGCTGAAGTATAGTCCAGGAAAGCGCATCGAACATACTTCTTACCCTTTTCTAACTTGAAATCTGTATTGTGTTGCAGAACAGCAACAGCATCTAAGGTGCTTCCTTTGCATCTGTAAGCAAACTGATACGGATCAATATGCTCTTATATCGCAGGCTGAAGTGGAATTATTAATATTTTTTCCATGTTTTTGAGGAAGGGTGAAGTTATTGCAATAGGTCTAAATTTAATATTCTTATCACCAGATACTTTCTTTGGTACAGGAATTATCTTCATCTTTCTCCACATTTTCGGTATGAGATTAGATGATAAGGAACTGTTAAAGATAGTTGTGAACGGCTAACATAGGACGTCAGCACACTTTTTAAAAAGGAGGTTTGGGATACCATCAGGTCCTAAACATCGAGATGAATTACGTGACAGGAGACATCTTCATATATCAGTTTCAGAGAAACTAGGAACACATCTATTCTTTAAACCTATGGATAAAGGGAGCATTACATGAAATGACTGACGTACAAGAGACTTAGTTAAGTCACAAACATTCAGCTGGTCATCGCGCCTAAACTGTCTGTCACCTGTAATTTCTTTAAAGAGTTTCCACGTACTTGGATAGTTTTTACAAGACAAGAATTTTTGAGTGAACATAGAGTTGAGACGTCTAGTCTCTAGGTTTATCAGACCATTTGGCTTACGAACTTCATTAGAATTCTTCTCCTTGTACATTCTTTCTTTCACTCTCGTTTTAGTTGTAAAGATGTAAGTCGATCAAAACTTACAAAAATGGTTTTCGTGGGACAAAAAATATCAAAACAGAATTTAAGGTAACAAGTGATAAAATCAGTAGTGATTTCCAGCGAGTCATCTGTAAATAATACCCAGTTAGTAGTATGAAACATGTTTTTCAGATTTCGGATATTTTCTGAGTAATTCCCATATTTGACTTTCTTGGTTTGATGTAAGAGTGTACTCTTCCCATGCTTTCCATATACTTTAGGTAGAACACGAATTATACAGTGATCTGAGCTAGACAATGGAGCACGTTCACGAGTCGCATATATACCCACATCATTAATGAAAACGAAGTCTAAATGAACATCCAAACGGGCAGGAAAATCTACTACATTTTGGCGACCTAGTGACGTAAGGAAGCTACAGTCACATGAATTGAAATCACTATATACAACTGAAAGTGAATCGCTGAAGTTAGTAACAGCGAACTCAGTGAATTCATCAGTGAAAACAGATAGCTCAGATGATGTGCAACCTGGAGTCCCGTAGATATTGGTAACATAAACAAATTTGTATTTATTCGGATGTTTGGGACGGCATCCTAGAGTTAGACAGTCGATAAAATCATTTAAAATCTTGAAACACGAACGAAGATCGATACCAGTTCACGTTTACAAACGTAGTTACACCACCGTCATACCTCTTTTTATTGTTTGGTCGATCCTGACGATAAATTTCGAAATCACGCAGTAATACTAGGCAGTCGTCTTGTAAATCATTTAACTGTGATTCTTGAATAGTGATGACACCACATTTACGATACATATTTTGACTTAGTAGGAATTGAAGATGGTCCATTTTGTTGATTAGTGGTCGTCAGTTAGAGTTTAGAAGCTCGGGAATCGACATACGATTAATGTTCATTCATTTTAACGCATATTGCCAACCACCACGATGTCTTTTAGAGTACATTTTTGTAATTTGTACAGCGAAAGATCGTAGGGTTTTCATAAAAGCGCCTGAATAAGTTATGCGATTAATGGACATAATGATAAGTCAAAACAAATGAAAAGACAGATAATTTCTAGAAATAATTAGATGGCGGAAACAGGTAGCCCAGATATTCAAGCAGGCCGCCGTATATATTGCTTTTACAATCTGCAAGGGTCAATGACTACGTGTCAAGGGTGATGGTTATATGATGAGGTTTTCTCTACAGGATAATAAACGGCGAGAGAATACTTAAGAAACCAAAAGTGTCACCATGTACTCATGTCAATGATACCGGTGAGAAACGCTGCCAGTGTTGGGATAGAGGCGGTAATGTTGTTTCTAGTTTGCAGGAGATTCGCTCAACATCGTAATTTGATTATTCTTGCGAATGGTTGTGTCGTCAGAATATCAATCGAACTGGACAGCATTTAAATAGTCGAGTATTTGAAAAGCCGATTGATGTGCCGAAATCATCTGGTAGATGACAGCTGTTAAAAAACAATGCTCCATAGGATACGGAGAGTATGAAGCCGAGGCAGAATAATTATAGTAGTTTGAATGTATCATAATGTCACGACGAGACAACACCGTCCTTATATGTATTGATAGCTGCTATGAACCATCCTTTGGGTATTATTAGTTTAACCGTCGGATGAATGAGTACAAAAATATATGAAGACTACTGTGCAGTTCGTGCAGAATTCTAGAGACTATTTAGAAATTCATCAAACCCATATTGCATGTAAATAAATCGAAAACGGAACTACAGTGACTTACGTGTAGTCAGAAAGTTGACTCATGTTATACCGTGTGAGATAGCAGAAAATGCAAAGCGTATGATAAACATCAGCAAAAACGGTGATTATCAGTGTGGCAAAGGCTTAGAAACTGTAAGAAACGCAACCATTAATAAAAGGCTGATGCTGGAACTCAGTGACATCTCACTGGTCCTACCCTTTTAATGTGGTGTTTAATTATTCCAAGTTCATTATATTAAATCTGGCAAGTAAACCAAAACCACTAATAATGACCAGTTGTTTAACACATTATGGAGAGGTTAACTCACAAAACGGTTATGGAATTGTTTGTGTTTCACGATTTTTGGAGTTGTTATAATGCATAAAATCAAGAGTGCATTGTTAATTTGTGAAATCGTTTGATTTATTTCAAAGGCGGTAATTCAGTCGTCCGTGGTGTCATGCAGGTTTTAACATTTACTTTTCGTTTCTTTTGTCTTTTTTTGACTTTTACCTCCTTCATAACATCATTGTTAAGCAAAAGGAGAAACTAAATAGAGCAACGACCTGGGCGATTTTTTTGTATTCGCAATTTTCGAAGCCGAGAATGATTATCGGCCTCATGGTGTTACGAACTAGATGTTTTTCAGTGACCATAGAAAAAGTCTTGTAAATTAGCATTAATTATGAGAGTAGTTGAGTAGTACAGAAGTAAATTTGAGGGACTATTTCATCCACAGTACACCGTTTTTACATCGTCCGCTAAATAGCATTGGAGATCTGTTGTAGACCTAAATATTCTTCCACTGTTAGTGAATAACGATCACGCTGTTTTGTCATTCGCGTTTAGGACTAGGGAAATGTTATACGATCAGGTTACACCTCGCCCAAATATATGGAAAGCCAGCGTATCAGCCATTCAGGTATGCGCTGCTAAGACATTGGTTTGTAGATACTAGCTTATCAGTTGAAGAAGCATGGTCTGTATTTAAAGGTAAGTTTAGTCTAGTTACGTCCCCTTCCATACCGTGTCTAGTGCCACGAAGACCAAATGACAGTCTACCATGAATAACTAAACCAGTCAGGAAACTTCTTAGAAAAAGGAAGAAGCACTGGAATTTGTTCATCTCTACTGGCTTAGAACAATACAAATCCAGTTATAGTAAGATTAGGAATACCTATAAAGCGTTAATAAGTAAGACTAGACTACCATACGAAAAACAATTGATTAGGGATTCTAGATATAAAGTCCGAAACGGTTATTCTCGTATATAAAAAGGCGAACTAAGAGAAGCGATGGAATTCCATCACTTTTGATACGAGACAATCCGTTAATCTTAGCAGAGAATGATGCCGAAAAAGCTGAAGCCTTATCGGAATATTTTAGTAAAGTATTTTCTGTCGGTAATGAGGAACGACCAACGATTCATCGTGAACGTGACAGCTCGCTGATGGATCCTGTAGTCATTGAGAAGGGTACTGTTTTAAGGCTACTTCAGCATCTCAAACCTGATAAATCCAGTTGTCCTGATGATATTCATCCTAGGATTATGAAAGCCATATTAGATGAAATTGCTGAACCATTAACTATACTATTTGACATGTCTCTGAGACAGTCCAGACTGCCTAGAGACTGAAAAGACGCTATAATAAGTTCGGTGTATAAGGCTGGGAGTAGGGATTTAGTTGGTAACTATAGACCTGTTAGCTTAACTAGTGCAGTTGTAAAACTGATGGAGAAAATCATTCGGATATCCGTTCTAAACTATGTTGAAGGGCATAATATTTTCTCCCGGGCACAACATGGTTTTCGGAGAAGCCTATCTTGCTTGACAAATCTTCTCATTGCAAGAGAAGATTGGGCTGCTGCAGAGACGACGAAGAGGCGACGACGAGTGTCTCTATCTTTCCGAGTCCTTACTGTTACGTTTAGTCGGACAGCGCACAAATGACTGTCTATTGGGATCCAGTCTAAGAGAGCTAGTTCTGCCCTAGGACTCAATGCTATACTTACGCCGGTGAGGCCATGAGAAGCAGCATCAGGGCTTCCAGATACACGAAGTGTTAATTGAGTTGGTTCTTTATTTTGACATGGTGATGTCAAATGAATGACGCTACTCGGATCCTGTATGTGCATTTCGGAGACGCAGCACACATCGATGGCTCGAGATTCTAAAGTCCTATCTAAGAAAGTCCGTTGTCCTATTTGGCACAGTGTTCGGACGTTAAAGACTCCTACATGTAGTTTAGACCGTGGTTTCAGGAGACCAGGAATAACATTCCGCGTACTCGAATCGTTTGCCTTAGCGGTGCGAGGTGATAAAGGGACGTGAGAAGGATTATTCGTGGACATAAGAGAGGTATTAGGAGGTGTAGGAAGAATTTGAATGTGACTAACTTGGTCTCGTGTGCTGTTACGGGTATGAGGGCTGATGTTACTTCCCGGCTGCCCACAGCGTGGAAGGAGGATCATTGACTAGTATTGCAATTAACAATTTGTCACATGAAAAAATTGATTTTAACGTTTTTTGCTTTCCATCCATACAATGCTTTTTAAAGATTCTCTATGTTGTATTACTTCTCTTATGTTCAAAGTCTTGGTACTTAGTGAAGGTAGATCCTATTTTTACAGGACTGACATCAAATGCAATCAGTAGCTACCTTACTTTCTCTATCACTGTCTTTAGTATCTTGTGTGTAAATTATTAATGCAGTGTAAAGTTGCTTGTCCCACATTAAACAAACGTTATTTTAATTAATCATTTGTTTTTATCCCTTTTCATTTCATTATTATTTTTTCAGTTACCTTCAATACATTTCGATTTGTCAATGTTCATAAATCGCTCTAGTAAATAAACCATGACACAAGACGATATGATATATACAATAATACTTATATTGTCCCTGGTTACTGGACCATTAGCCCAAAAATGTGGGAAATATCGACCTTGGTTCGCAGCTGTTGTAGGGTTTCTTATGTTTTTCTGTTTTGCGGGACAAGCTGTATGGCATTCACTCCTGACATCGTCTGTATTCACATTGGCCTTTATTCTATTTCCTGCAAGGTAGGCTGTTTAATCTTGATAATAATTATTATCTTAAGATTTTTGCATTACGTAGCTGTTGTATGGTGCTTTGGTTATTTGGGATTTTTTCGAACTTGTCACTATTTCGGATTCTCTCAGGTTACTCCTGTCGCAAATATTGTGCAGCTCTTATTGACCTTACGTGTACGTATTTTCATGTGTTTATTGATTTATAATCAGTTAATAGGTGCATCATTTGAAATAAGTGATAGTTGGCGAATAAACAATCAATTACAAAATTCTGATTTGCACCTACAGGATAAAAGAAAACTTGAACTTCTAAAAAAATATAAATGTATCGAGCCTTCTCCACTGATGATTATGTTGTATGCCTATTGCTATATTGGTTTGTTTACAGGTAAGAAGTTTTATTTGTGCTTAATTAAATTTAGCATAAATATGATAAAACGTGTTTTTCGGTTTTTCAGTTCGAATGCTCATATGCACGCTTCTGTTAAGCCAACCACTTTTATATGTTGTTAGTGTAGAACTTAGTATTTTAGGAACTTTACTATTGACCACTGGATCACCGGTTTATTAATTACTCACATACAATTTAGGCGTATGCTCAATATTTCTAGATCTTGTACAATAAGTATTTATGCACAAGCTTGGATGTATTGGGATATTGTAATCTACCAACTATTAAGCACCTAATTTCTTGAGATTCTTCCAGGTTGAGGTATTAATTACCAAATGAAACTAATGGACGTCTATGAATTGACTCAAACAGATGCCGTGTGTTAATAATACCGGTTATCTTGAACTAATGGAACATATCCTATAGATTCAAGTTCGAAAGTTGTGGCTACGGAAAGTGAGTATACAATTAGTACCGAATTTACCAATATAATGTTGTATTTCGTCGAATTAATGAAACGATCTCAGTTGCACCACCAATAGAAATCTGGAAGCACTAAACAGTTTACGACCGCGTATGCGGGAATCAAATCGAATATTATCGGTTTCGCACTGCAATATATTAGGAAATTTTAGCATATGTTTGTATTATTTTCAAGAAACACTTTACGAAACTCGTTATATTTGTTTTAGGCCCGTATTACAATCTGAAAACGTTTGAAGACTTTTGCAATCGGGATTCTGAAACCGTAATAACTGCAGAAGAACCTCTTCTTCAACACCTTCAAGAAGCACCTCCATTTGGTGTAGCTTATTTAATACTTTCTCACTTTTATACTGTTGATGTAAGTGTTTAATGTTACGATATACGATCACCGATTATATTTGCTATCTCACTAATAAGGTTTTACATAATAATGACGTAAACACCTTATACGCCATAAAGTGGTGCAACTCTGTGACTAAATAAAGGTTCATGAGGCATGGTTTAAGCCGTATTTTTTGTTTATGATTTGATATTATTTGGCTATCCAAACTCTGAAATAGATAGTGCGAAGTTTGACAGTCCAGTAGTCGAGAATCGATTTATCTCACTACTAATCCATGGCTCCATCCATTAGACAACAAGGAGTATCTAGTAAATTGAGGTGTGTATGAGTGTTTAGTGCACGTCTCTCATTTAGATACATACAGCTTCTTCAAAGCTTATCTACATTAGCTTATGGTTTAACAATAAACCTCTCTGTAGTTAAACCTGTTCACTACTTCATGCTATTTGAAACGTCATACTTGTTGGATTTTATAAAAATGTAAAATTTGCCGACCAATAACTTAAATAAAAGACAAATCTTAGCTCTAGGTGTTAGGGAATTAACTGCGAACGTGTTTTAATTATCTATGTATACAAAGGTAATGCGTTAACTTTATCCTGTCTAAAAACACTCAATATTCCTTATAGTGTATAAATCATATCCATAATTATACCACTCAAAGCTTTATATTTTATCGTTTTATATATTCAGTAGGGATACTGTCTGACATGTCTGTATAACTTTTTAAATCCTAACCCATTTTTACACCTTCATTATTTTCAGTACGTACGCACTGCAGAATTCTATGATCGACATTTCCTGTATCGATTTTTTTATATGATGGTTATTTTCTTTACCTTCCGAATGCGAATTTATTTTGCTTGGAAAATGTCTGAGTGCGTGTGTATATCCGCTCGTTTAGGTGCATATCCTAAATTATCTGAACCTGAAAAAGGTGAAGGACCAACCAATCTACATGCATTAGATTTGTAAGTTAATGGGAGATTTTTTTCTTTCTTTATTGGAATTTACACAAAATACATGTTTCATTTATTATATTCGTTATAAATTGACTTCACATAGGATAACATTAAAAACTAGGGACTATTGATCAACTGCTTTATCCTAGTTTAGGATTGCTCAGTAGTGTACATCTACGAGCCCACCAGGTGCGTCTGATAATCTTTGTTCGTCAATGATCATCAAAAAACTAACATGTTTCTGCCCGTTTTCACGATGTGTTTTGCAATTAAATGATCATGTTGATATTACTTAAACTAACCACTTAAGTGGATTTTAGACTTTAACAATAAATATATTTTTTGTTATATCCCAATGAGTAGAAGCATTGTATTTCTGACGTTTCGTGGCTTAATGTAGGCCACTTCTTCAAAGTAAATAACCGAAATAAATTACTACAAGTATAAATAGTACAAAGAAAACAATGCAGAATATTTTTATTACAATCAAAATCATAATAGGTCTGAATGTGTCGAAGTCAATTTATTCTTAGTCAAGGTGAATTTGTATGGCATGTCACCATTAATTTGTACGTCAGAATTTGGGTATGAAAAATGTATACATTTGTAATATGAAGTTGTGAGGTTGAGATTTTGTGGAAAATAAATAAGATCAAATGTGATTGTTTGGACAAATAGTTCAGGTTGGATCAATATTCAGGCCTTTCCTATTCAGGGCGGAATGATTTAGCATTATGTGAAGCGCTCGAGTTACTCGCCTCTCTTTATATTTGGGAAAACCTGGGTTATTTTGATATTTGTAATATCAACTTGGTGATTATTGGAAATAGCATGTACTGCTATTGATGATTTAACCCGTAAAGTTCATAGTTTTTATTTATTTATTTCAACACATAGATAATGGTACAAAGAGGCACCAAATACATATGCGCCACACAAATCTCATCCGATATGTGTGAGGGCTGTGATAGTGCCCGGGTGCCCAAACCGAAGTTCTACAGGATTATTAAGCCTTTCTATGTAACTTGAGTATCCCTTGGCACGAGTCAATATCTCAGGGGAACTCTTCAATGTAGAACGCCTCGCAATCGACACAACCTGATCTGTAAACAGTTCTGTGTAGAGGTGGACGATTTTATCTTTAACTCAAATAAAGCGTTTCTTAGAATGTTAGTTGACTAATAGAAAGCTTTAATTTTGTATGTTTTTGATATCCGTTGTAATTATTCTGTCATACTTTGGCAGTAAGGTAAAACCACAGTACCAATCCAAGATCCTTCATCAGGATTGTTTTTTACAGAAGGATAGTTTTGTTTTAATATGTTTTTAGGAATATTTTTAGAAAAGTTAATAAATCGTAAGATGTTTATTATATTCTCTTTTTCTCTCAGCTTGTCTTCTGAGGTAATGATCTTGATCGCTCTTCTGAAAAGATTTAGGGCTAGGGGAATTTTCTCACTGGATGGGTGCGCACAGTTAACATCAATATACCGATTTGAATTTGTTGGTTTTTGGTATATAGCTAGATTTAGACTACCATTAGGATTCCTTTTAACTAGACAATCTGAGAATAGTAGTTCATTATATTCGTTTTCCTTTTCGAAAGCGAATTTGATATGTTCTGAGAGCGTGTTTATGTGTTTGGATAAATTTATGAGAAGAGTATTTTTAATAATGACAAATGTGTCATCTTTATACTTGAGCCACGTGCATGGATTGATAGTGCTGGCAAAAATAAGCGACTCACTGTGGGACATAAATAAATTTGTAACAATCAGAGATACTGAGGATCCCATTGCTTTAGTTCTTTCAAAAGTTCACTCGTCTCTGATGCAACTTTATTTTTAAACACTTGAACATTTTTCGAATCGATCTTTAAATATAGTCCCGTTGATAAACGATTAGTAGCTTTTTCTTCATAGTCGTTTTTGTTCATGACCACTGTTGTATTACCTTAGTTAGTTTCAGTAATGACAATCGTTTCATTTCAACTACCCTTGTAACCTGTTTTAAAGCACTCCCGGTTGAATGCACTGGATGTTCGTCTACTGACCGTAATATGACGTTTTAACTGTGTTTGTATTTTGTAATGAACATTATTCGTATACACAATTGTGCTTCCACACATTTTTTATAGTAAACCTTGGTCAATCGAACAGAAAGATTGCGTATAACCATTTGTCAGATCAATGTCCTTCATCTTGTTATCACACTAAAGTGCTTCTATTTCAGTATCGTATTAATCGTACCAATATCGTCTGAGATTACCGAAATGAATCGTCCCAATGAGTAAGACATAGTGTTCGTTCTGTTCTAACAACTTATCTTGTTATATCCACTGAGAACGTTTAGTTGATTTAATTAAAATGAACAATCATTCGAATAGTCATAATGTTATTGTTCAACCCTCCCCAAATACCCTGGTACGGCCGTTAGTGGAGAGAGTCCGTTCTTCCTCTCGAAATGCTCTCACATGGCCACGCGTATATAGCCTGTACCAGGGAAGTCCTACTCACTGCCTTCTCGTTGCATTACTGTTGTTTACGAAAATGAGAGGACGAAAATCGAATGTCCGGCGCTTTAACTGTGTTGGTGGACATGGAGAATCCACCGAGGGGAGTTGGAAAACCCTGATTCCAAACCAATGGTGCACATGGGCTCCAGTATCCTGAAGGAACAAATGGCGTATGAACCAATCGTTGGTCACCGGCTACCATGGGATTGCATCTCCTTACGATGCTCCACTGCCTTGTGGGTCAGCCCTTCAGGTTGAAGGTTCCGGGTGTGGCCCCCTAATAAGACCACCTGCTTCGGTTTGCGCACCCGGGCAGTATCACAGCCCTCACACATATCGAATGAGATTTGTGTGGCACATATATATTTGGTGCCCCCTTGTACCAGTATTTATGTGTTCAAATAAATAAATAAACCCTCTCTCCTAGAAACGAATGTATGAGACGAAAGTAAGCATAATTAAAAATCGCCCAGTTCATAACTAATTGGTCTTAAAAAGTTTTCAGTGATTATTGACCATTGAATTCAGGACTTCGGCAATCCGTTATTCTGTTGTTTACTACAACAGTTTCGTTTTTGTAAGAGTCAGTGTTGTTCGTATTTCCAGTCTTCCTCTGGTATTAAATTCTCGGTTTTAGAATTTTATTGTAAGCGTATTACCTGTCAACACTGGTCACACCTCAGTAACTGAACCATTCAAACGTAACGATTTTACAATGATAAACATTTGTTTGAATTCAAAGGAACAATTTAAACTGTTGTTTATCTAATTTTATTATATTGCGAATTGTCACATTAGATACATGGAACAACAAGCAGCCAATGATGTGAAATTAAACAGCGTTATAAACCAGCCCAATCATCTTCATCGTCATCAAACTTCTGAACCTGTCAATTCTGTTATTCATTCCACACTAAAAAATAAACCGAATTCTGAAATGAAGTCAGAGACAAATGTAATATATAATTATAATACAATATCCAACTTAAGTATATGGGGATGTGAATTTGCTCCTACTGTACGTGAATCAATGAAATCGTGGAATTGTTCGGTGCAATTTTGGTTGGCCAATTATTTTTATAGACGTTGCAAAGCTTCACGAAATATACGGCAAGTGATTCATTTGGGTGATTCATTCTATTTTTTAATCCCTTATCAGTTAAGGAACTCAATTGATGCCCGAGTATTTTGTATTAGTAATTTGTTTGGAATTTTCTTTCTAATGAATTCATTATGCCTTGCGAATAAGTCATATGTTCTATTAAGGCTTAATAATACTGTTTAATCACGCGAACCAAAATAATTGATGGGGTGTCTAGACCTGTTAGGGATTGATAATTTCTACCATTTATATAAAGCTTTGTGGTTGTGGTCCAAAATTATTATTCAACAATCTAACGATTTGGACACCATTTAGTCTTGTTTTTTTTAATATATAATGCCTGTGTTAATTATTCTTTTCATTCATTTTTTTATTATGCAAATTTCTACAGGACATTATGGACAATGATGGTTAGTGCCTATTGGCATGGTTTACATGCAGGTTATTATTTATCCTTTCTGGTCATCCCACTTGCATTAGTTGGTGAGACAAGTCTAAAAAATATAATGAATTTATGCGCAAATAGTCTACCAACTGGTAGTGTATCATTTATTTCATGGTTATTAAAAATGCGTGTCTTTGAATATTGTTGTATGGGGTTTTTATTATTAGACTGGGAGACTACTATTGCTTATTGGTCCAGTATTTATTTTTGTATTCATATAGTTTTAATTGGATTGATTATTTTCGACTATTTTCTACGACTTATATTACCAGCTAAAGCATTTAAAATTGTATCTTCATTAGATTCATCTACTGTTTCATCATTATCATCTGATGTGTTTGTTGTTAATAATGACACAGTTGGTGATCAATCACCAACCCTTCATTCTCATCATCGTCCTAATTATAAATCAAAAATGTAAATTATTGCATCTACATATATGACATAAAAATCTTTAACTATTATTTGATAATTATTGAACAATGAAAATAGCATTTTGTGTTTTCCCCTTCTTTTTTTCTTTTGAAAAAAAATTGATTTCATTATTTTCATTTAAAAATGTTTATTTTATCCTCTTCATAGATAATGATATAGAGTTAGTCATTTTTTTCCACTCTCTAAGTGTTATCTCGATATTTTTATTTAGATCTTATCAATTTAGTTGTCCTCTGTTTCGTATTGTCAATTCATTTCATTCTGGTATTATTATTATTATTGGGACTTTACCGCTCTCTTGTCTGATATATATATATATATATATCCATCGTGGAAAGCACTGTGAAATTGTGGCTTTGTATTTTATAAAACAACAATAATATCAGTATCAAAAAGGATAATTATGTGTTTAATTATTCTTATCAGTTACCTTTTTTTCTTGTAGTATTTTCTTTTATAAAATTTTCTTTCTTCAAAATACATTAATTTGATACCTACTAATTTCAAAGAGAAATATTCTCAAATGAACGAATATGTTATTATGTTCAGCAATTATATACGCATACAGTATTTTTCTGATTATCTCTTCTAATATAATAAGAGTTGTTTCAAATTATATGGAGTAGAAAAAAGGAGAATAAGACAATTTTGGAAGAAAAGCTTTTTTCCAGTTAGTCAGCTACAACGTAGGACCAGGCACATATGTGCATCGGTCCAGGTTGCCATACCTCATTAGCACAGCAAGATGAACACCGGATTCATAAAAGTGGTTAGGTCAAAGGTGGTAATATATAGGAGAAAGATTGCAATAAGGATATAGTATAGGAAGAAAGAATTAGTTAGTAGAAAGAAAGATATGAAGTGATTTTAATCTCTTAGTTTAAGGGAAGACAGTGAGTGTATACACCGACGCCATTGTGATCGATTCTGAGCCATGTCACCAAGAGTCTCCAACCATTGGTTACGATAGTCACGTGGACCCCAACCGAGAAGTCTGCATCTACTAACATGGCTCAGACTAGAGGTTAGTGACTTCAAGCACTGATGCCACGTTTTGGTTTGGCCACCCCTTACTTTCTTCCAACCACCCCCTACACCGGTTAACATTGCACGTCGTGGTAATCGGTGTTCAGGCATACGTAACACGTGGCCGAACCATCTCAGTCGATGAAGATTCACAACCTTATCAACTGATTTACCATCATTTCCTAATACCCTGCGTTTAACCTCACTATCATTTAACCGGTGATCCCAGCAGACGCCAGCAATATTTCTTAGGCATCTGTGGTCAAATACTAGTAGCTTACGAGTGTCTTATATTCTTAGTGTCCATGTTTCGTTGCCGTAAAGTAAGACAGAACGGACGCCGCGCAGTATACTCGTCCTTTTATTGATAGACGGATATCTCGCCTTCGCCATAGGTGACATAAGTTGGCAAAAGCCAAGCGAGCTTTTCGAATCCGTGCTGAGATTTCGTCCGATACCAATCCATTAGGGCTGGTCAGACTTCCAAGATAAGTTAAGTTGTCAACGCGTTCGACTACTTCACTCCCTATCCTTAGTTCAGGTGTTGACGCAGACCAGTCCTGAAGCAACAACTTGCATTTAGGGGGCATTGTTGCTTAGTGCTACCAGAAGACTCTGCATTTTGTCAGCGTCTTCACCAAACAGGACTATGTCATTTGCGTATTCTAAGTCGATAAGTGGACCTCCTGGTAGGAGATCAATATCCGAGAATTCAGTTGACGAGAGTGTTATTTCCATCAATAGGTCTGTGATGAAATTAAACAAAAATGGAGAAAGTGGACAGCCTTGACGGACACCACTTGAGGTTTCAAAAGTAGATGACCTTTACAAGGTTTATGTACTTCTGAAGTACGCCTTTCAATGACAGACACTGCCACAGAATCTCGCGGTCTACCGAGTCAAATGCTGCTTTTAAGTCAAGAAAGACCACCATCGTCGGACGCCGATAGGTATGCCTGTGTTCTAGAACCTGACGAATGGTGACTATGTGGTCGATGCAGCCACGACCAGGTCTGAAGCCAGCTTGGTTCTCTCGTGTTTGCAGTTCACGAGTCTTAGTTAGGCGTTTGATAATTACCGAAGCTAGTATTTTAGATACTATATTTGTTAGACTAATCCCTCTGTGGTTGTCACAGGATGATTTTGACCCTTATATATTGGGACGATAAGTGATTGCGACCAGTCAGATGGGATAACGTCTAACTCCCAGATCTTAGCTAAAATATTAGTCAACCTAATCGCTAAAATTGGACCACCATCCTTAAAGACTTCTGGAACCAGTCCATCTGGACCAACTGCCCTTCCTCGTTTCAGATTAACTATAGCCTTTTGAACTTCAGCAAGAGTTGGGGGACCTATTTCAATGTTCCATTCACACTGTCTGGGAATGGACGGTAGTTGTAGAGTCGCTGAAGGCCAGCTGAACTGTTCCCTAAAGTGTTCCGCCCATCGTTCTAAACGTCTGGACTGGGAGCAGATGAGAGTATCGTCTTTTTCCGAAATAATCTCACTTACACTTGACTTATTAGTTCCAGTTTCTTTTACTAGTCTGTAGAGCTGTCTTGTGTTCCCTGTAGCCGCCGCCTTTTCCATCTCTTTTGCTTTCTTTGCCCACTACTGCTCACGGTCGTTTCTTAGACTTTTTCTTAACCTAGATTTGATTTGTTTCGCTCTTCATCATGTTCAGAACCTGATGGGACGAGTTTGCGAGAATCCATCAGTGTGATAGACTTTGAAGAAATCCACTGGTTTTTTGTAACTGTGGTTTAAGTCATAATAGATTCATGCTGTTTCCACAGCTGTTGTATATCTTTCAAGCAACATCTGGTCAGCCTCGTTTCAGAACTACCTAAGTGTGACCTCAGTTGTTCCTGGAACATTTGGATTTCTCGTTACTCAACTCAGTTCTAATGGTCTTTCTAATGTGACTTTTTGCGTCCAGTGAGGCGCAAGCAATGCGTGCCATATTAGGGCATGGTCGGAGTCCAAGCAGGTACTCCAGAATGAGCGACAATCTCTACCACCCTCTTCGACGATGTCTGATTGCAATATGGTCTATTTGAGTCAATCGTTGGTTTGGTGTAGGGGGTCGCCATGTTAGACGATGTCTTCCTTATGCTTAAAATTTGTGTTTGCTAAAAATAAAGGATTGTCTGAGCATAGTTGCAGCAGACGATCACCATTATCTGTTCGTTGTGCCGGAATACTAAAATATCCACCTAAATGCCTTTCTGTTTGGTTTAAACTACCTATCTGAGCATTAAAGTCACCTCCCACGAGTACTATGTCTGAGAGTTTAGCTTTCTGAAGAAGTTCGGACAGCTTTCTGTAAAATTCATCTTTCATTTCATCTGAGCTGCAGTCAGTGGGAGCGTAGGCAGAAACGACAAAAAGGCAACGATGTGTGTCCCTATCCTTCCGAGTTCTTACGGAGCCGTTTAGCCGAACAGCACATAGACGACTGTTGACGGGGATCCACTCTAGCAGTGCTTGTTCGGCCCTCATGCTTAGTGCTATATCTACACCTTCCAGTCCACGAGAACTGGCCGTTGGGTCACCAGATACACGTAGAGTGTATCTCGTTTGCTCTCCGTTTTGCCGAGGTGAGGTCAAGTGAATGACCATACTGGAGTCCTGTATGCGTGTTTCGGTGACACAGCATACATCAATGGAAAGAGACTAGGCTTTTAGCCAAGGAAGCCTGCTGACCGATTTGACATAGAGTGCGTACGCTGAAAGCTCCATTGTGTAGTTTGGAGCGAGGTTTCAGTAGACCTGGGACAGTGTTTTGAGCACTAGAATCGTTGGCTATGGTGACACTTGAGGAAGAAGCCAAAGGAGGAAGTTTAGGGTTGAAAGTCGATGTAGGAGGAATAATAGAAAGTGAAGACGGAGGTTGATTATGAATACAGTGGTCTTGAGTGCTGTTGGAGGTATGAGGGCGGTTATCACTTCCTGGTTGCCCACACCGTGGAAATGCTTTTTTTACTTTCAATCTATTTTCCTCTTTTTTAAAATTACAAACTTTCAAATTGATACTTATGAATAACATACAAGTTACCTATACATATGTATTATTTGTTCCTTCAGAGATAAATATCTAACAACAATTTAGTAAAGTTAGTTGATTTCTTTACTTTGTTCTTTATAAGAAAATTAATACCATAAGTGTCTTTTTTAATGCAAGGGACTAGGAGAGGATTTATACATTTATTCATGGTTATTTATCGTACAAAAAATGCTTCGTGTAGAAAAGGATTAACAAGTTATATCGTACAAATTGCAATGATAATGTCGATAAAAATTAGAAAACGGTGACGGGAAAAAGAAGTGTAGGATGATCTAATCAAAATTTGTAGAGTAACGATTCATTTGAATTACTCCATCGGACATTTGAAACGTCTTCTATGATTATTATCTCATTGAAACCAGCCTTCTCAATTTTACAGGTTTTAATATCGTGCCACTGATTCCGTAAATTTGCAGATGCAACTGAGAAAAGGGGACGGTAAGTTGTGCTTCGATAATAACAACTGTGATTGTGTTCTTGGTTAGAAAGTAGGTTATGTTCATGGCAAATATGCAGAAGACGACCAGTTTTATCCTACTTGTAATGGAAGAATTCCAATGGACTACCTAAACTATTACTAATGCGTAGAACCCAGAACGTCCATCTAGATTTTCAGCTACTAATACGTCTGTCACAGGAGTTTGACAGAAGCTACATATTTAGTGGTGGTACTCAGTCTATATTCCTCCTCCTAGTTTTGTCTTATCATTTGTGCGGAGATTCCTTTCCAATGGGAAGCAGTAAGTATAATCCGTTTGGTAGAGCCTTTAAGGATGGCGCTTCATGAGAGCGTGTGGATGTAGAAAGTTTAGCTCCATTGTCGGCCATATATTTTGGGATTTTCACTTTAAATCAGTCTAAGCGTCTAAGATTTAAGAGAAATATCTTGTCTTCTGAGATGATCTGATTCAGTTTCTCATCGTTCACTAAACTAAATTTAATTGGTTATTTTTTAATCAAATGGCGCACAACTGTCATATTTGAAAATCTATGTTTATCGTTCGAATTATCGGTTATTTCCTACGGCCTAGTCTTATGTCTTCCATAACCCTTCCAACTGGAAGTGTAATATAATAGTTGCTTGTATCAATTATGGTACTGTTTTATACTGTCTCCTGTTGTAGGATGTACTTGATTTTCTGACGGGTTTTCAGTTGTTCGATAAAACGATACATATGACTATTCAAATAATTAACAGTCACAATTTGAAACTGAAAGTTCAACAAAAAAGCCTTTCAGAAATTATTCATGATAGCTACTTACAATATGGGAATATTTCACGAATTCTTTAAACGTTAGTTGTTTTACATTCTAACTGTATGATTTGGTCAAATATCTAATAGATATAATTTACGTTCTCAATATTGGTTGTCTCATCTGTAGTCTTATTACTTGATGGTAAATCAAGAAAAAGATATCACTTTTACTGTTCGAATAAAACTCAATTACTTCTGATATATGTACAAAAGAACAATTAGGTTTTATACCATAATTTCTTTAATTCATATGATGTGGAAAATTATTGATCATGTTTGTTGTATCAGCTGCTGTTCATC